GTTATCACCTTTAAAGTGCTCCATGGCATCGGGCCTAGCTATCTTAGAGACCGCCTGCTGCCACCGACGACCTCCCATCGTCCCGTGCGCTCCCACAGAGAGGGCCTCCTCAGGGTGCCATCAGCCAATCAATGCAGGCTGGTGACCCCCAGGGGGAGGGCCTTCTCTGTGGGGGCACCTATCCTCTGGAATCAGTTGCCCCCAGAGATAAGGAGAATCCAAGACCTTAGCGCCTTCTGCCGTGCCCTTAAAACCCACTTTTTCCAGCAAGCCGGGCTGGCTTAAGAAGAAATTTTAAATGTTTTAATTGGTTTGTATTTTTAATTTTGGGCCAAATTTATATATATTTTAATTGTTTTTAATATTTGTATTTTATGTTTTTTTTAATTCTGGCTGTACTTCTGGCTGTAACTCTGAGTCCTCAGGGAGAAGGGCGGTATATAAATTTAAAATAAAATAAAATAAAATAAAATCTATTTTGGATTCTTTGATAAATGTATTACGTTTATGCTGAGTTACATGGCGAGAGAGCTACGTCGGAGCACGCAGAAGATCTGGTTGTTTTCGTACATATCTATAACTTGATCTTGTTGGTTTTGCTTTTGTGGCTTAGATCTCCATTCTGGTTTCTTTTCTATAAGTTGTGTATCAACTGGTTGATTTCCATGCTTGTCTGTGGCTTGATAAGTCATCACATTAGAATCCAACGCCGCCTCTATCGTATTTATAAGTAGTCCAGCTGAGACATCTAAAGGATCCAAAAGCGGTTCATCTACAAAGACCTCTGTAGCTCGATGTTTTTCCATTATTGCCAACTCCTTCTGCTTATCATGTATTATGCATGAAGATGTTGAACCCATTTTTAAAGTCTCTCTAGGCAACTGCCTAGAGACGTGGTGATTTATTTTACAGATAAAGAAATAAGAAATAATATTGTGCAAAAATCTTTTAATTCTACTTTACAACTGTATGGAAGAAAGATTTGAATATATAAAGAGCTACCGCCCAAGATGTTAGTAGACAGAAAGAAATTTGGATTCCTGGTGACTGAGCTTAAAAAACAAAATATTTTATTTAGGTGGGATGTCCCAGTTGGTATAATATTGAAATATCAAGGAGAAATATACCAATTAAATACTGTTGAAAAAGCGGAAGAATTTTATTATAAAAAAAAAAGGAATGCAAATTAAAATATGGAAAAATAAGGTAAGAGAACCCCTGTTGGCTCTAGACAAATTCAAATCACTGGGTCGGGACGGACTGCAGCCAGAATTTTACTGGAACTAATAAATGTGATTTCAGAACCATTGTAACATACTGTATGTTTCAAAGTCCTTGGAGCAGGGGGAAGTAGAGGTAGTCCTCAATTTACAATAGTTAATTTGGTGACCGTAGTTACGATGACACTGAAAAAAGTGATTTATGATCATTTATCACACTTTTGACCGTTGTAGCATCCCCCTGGTCATGTGATTTACATTCAGATGTTTGACAACTGACATTTATGACAGTTGTAGTGTCCCGGAGTCATGCGATCCCCTTTTGTGACATGCTATCAACCAAACTCAATGGGGAAACCAGATTCACTTAACAACAGTGTAACTCATTTAACAATGGCAATGATTCATTAACAAATGTGGCAAGAAAATTCATAAAACGGGGCGAAATTCACTTAACAAGTTTTTCGCTTAACAACATAAATTTTGGACTCAATTGTGGTTGTAAGTTCAGGACTACCTGTAACTGAGGACTGGAAAAGAGCTGATAGGGTCCCCATCTTCAAAAAGGTAAAAAACATGCAGGAATTTACAGACAAATCAGCCTGACATTAATATCTGATAATATCTTGGAAAACATATCCAAGCAACAAATCTGTGAACACCTAGAAGCAAACAAGTTATAACCATTAGCCAATATGAGTTGATCCAGTGGTGAAATCCTCCGTGGATTGCCACCGGTTCACTGCCCGTGCATGCGCATTGTGTGTGACACGCACACTTCCCGCGGAAAAAGAAAACTTCACAAGGTAAGTAGAACACTGAGGGGGGGAAACAACTGTGCCACATGATTTATATTTGCCATGCGGCACAGCTGATCATCAGAAATACCAGTTCAGAGGAACCGGTAGTTTTTTTTTACTACTGGTTCACCTGAACTGGTAGTTTTTATAACTACCGGTTTGCCCAAACTGGTGTGAACTGATAGCATTTCATCCCTGGGTTGATCAAAAAGAGATCCTGCCAAACAAACCTTATTTCATTATTTGACAAAGTGACTAAATTAGTGGACCAGAGAAATGCTGAGGACATAGTATACTTAGTTTTCAGTAAAGCATTTGATTAAGTAGATCACAACCTACTTCTTGGCAAGCTAAAAAAATGTGAACTTGAACAGTGGCCCCTATCTAACAAAATGATATTCAACAAAGATAAAAATAAAGTTTTACACTTAGACAAGAAAAACCAACTGCATAGGTATAATTAAACTAGGTGAAATTCCCGTAACTGTAAGAGGGATCTTGGAGTCGTAGTGTATAGTCACTTAAATGTGAGCCAACAGTTCAGATCAGATCCGATCAGATTAACAGAGTTGGAAGGGACCTTATAGGTCATCTAGTCCAACCCCCCGCTCAAGCAGGAGACCCTATACCATATCTGACAAATGGCAGTCCAATCTTTTCTTGAAACTCTTGAGTGATGAAGCTCCCACAACTTCCGAAGGCAAGCTGTTCCATTGGTTGATTGTTCTCACTGTCAGAAAGTGAGGATTGTCCTCATTTCTAGGTTGAATATCTCCTTGATCAGTTTCCATCCATTATTCCTTGTCTGGCCTTCAGGTGCTTTGGAAAATAGTTTGACCCCCTCCTCTCTGTAGCAGCCCCTCAAATATTGGAAGACTGCTATCATGTCTCCCTTGGTCTTTCTCTTCACTACACTAGCCATGCCCAGTTTCCGTAATCGTTCTTCATCTGTTTTAGTCTCCAGTCCCCTAATCATCCTGGTTGCTCCCCTCTGCACTTTGAGTTTCAACATCTTTTATAGTGTGGTGACCAAAACTGGATGCAGTACTCTAGGTGTGGTCTTACTAGAGCTTTATAGAGTGGTATTAGTACCTCACTTGATCTTGATTGTATCCCTCTGTTAATGCAGTTCAGGATTGCTTTGGCTTTTTTAGCTGCCGCTGCACACTGCTAGCTCATATTCAGCTGATTGTGCACTAAGACTCCAAGATCCCTCTCACAGTCACTGCTATTAAGCCTGGTTTCCCCCAGTATATGTGTGTACCTAAGTGTAAGACTTTACTTTTCTCTACGTTGAATTTCATTTTGTTAGATAGGGCCCAGTGCTCAAGTCTGTCAAGATCCATCTAGATCTTGAGCCTATCTTCTAGAGTGTTAGCTATTCCTGCCAGCTTTATATCATCTGCAAATTTGGTGAGTTCCCCTTCCATTCCCTCATCTAAATCGTTTATGAAGATATTGAAGATTACTGGGCCTAAGAAGGAACCTTGTGGCACCCCCCTGCTTACTTCTCTCCATGTAGACTTACACCCATTAAGGACTACTCGTTGAGTACGGTTTGTCAACCAGTTGCAAATCCATGTGGAGGTGAAGCTATCTATCCCACTTTTTTCTAGCTTATGAAGAAGTAGGTTGTGGTCTATTCTGTCGAATGGCTTGCTGAAGTCTAAGTATATTATGTCCACAGGATTTTGCTTGTCTACTAATTTAGTCACTATGTTGAAGAATGAAATAAGATTGGTTTGGCATGATCTGTTTTTAAAAAACCTGTACTGGCTGCTAATTATTACTTTACTCGTTTCTAGGTGTTGGCAGATCTGTTTCTTTATTATCTTTTCCAGTATCTTCCCAGGTATTGATGTTAGGCTGATTGGTCTGTAGTTTTGGTCTGTTTTTTCCCCTTTTTGAAGATGGGAACCACATTAGCTCTTTTCCAGTCCTTTGGTAGTTCCCTGGTGTTCCAGGATTTTTGAAAGATGTGGTGCAATGGTTCTGAGATGACATCTGCCAGCTCCTTTAGAACTCTGGGATGTAACCCATCAGGTCCTGGTGATTTGTATTCATCAAGATCAGACAGGTGTTCTCTTACTATTTTTTTGTGATTGGCAGCAGCCAAAATGACCAATACAATCCCAGGCTGCATTAATAGAGGGATAGAATTAAGATCACATGAAGTTATAGTACTGCTTCACAAAGCCTTAGTAAGACCACACTTGGAATACTGCATCCAATTCTAGTCACCACAATATAAAAAGATATTGGGACTCTGGAAAGCATGCAGAGAAGAGCAACAAAGATGATTAGGGACTGGAAGCTAAAACATACAAAGAACAGTTACACAAATGGGGTATGTCTAGTCCAGGGGTGTCAAACTCGATTTCATTGAGGCCCACATCAGGGTTGTGTTTGACCTCTGGGGGCCGGAGTGGGCATGGCCAGGTTGGGCGTGGCCAGATCGATATCACTCACGTTGGGGGCACCTCTGGTGGCCCAAGCGCTCTGCCAGAGAAAACTGGCTCCCAAGCTGTTTTTGGTTGTGATGGCTTCCTGCAAACCTCTGCCAGGAAAAAGCTCGGGAGAGCTGCATCCGGCCACCAGCCCTTGAGTTTGAGACCCCTCGTCTAGTCTAATGAAAAGGACAAGGGGAGGCATGATAGCAGTCTTCCAATATTTGAGTGGCTGCCACAAAGAGGAGGGTCTCAAGTTATCTTCCTAAACACTAGAAAGCAAGACATGGAACAATGGATGGAAACTAACGAAGGAAAGAAGCAACCTGGAAACTTACAGTGTGAATTAATAAGTGGCTTCAGCTTGCCTTCAGAAGTTGTGGGTGCTTCATCACTGGAAGTTTTAAAAAATAGATTGGATAGTCACTTGTCTGAAATGGGATAGAGTCTCCTGCTTGAGCAGGGAGTTGGAACAGAAGACCTCCATGGTCCCTTCCAACTCTATTTATTCATTGTATCATTGATCTTGAAAGCTGCAGGCTTGAATTTGCTGTGGGAGCACCAGGAACAGGTCAATGGGTAGATTTTGTGGGGAGGAAGAAGTTCCAGTTTGGTGTAGTGGTGAAGGCACCAGGTTAGAGACAGAGAAACGCTCAGTTCCAGTCCCACCTGTTGAACTTTGGCCAGTCCTCTCAGCCCTTGGAAGCTGGAAATGGAGTGGGGGGGACCTTTCCCAAAAACCCTTCCAAAGGAAACTGCAAGGCCAGGCATCAAGACTGACCCAAAGGCACCAAAACCGACGTAGCATCACGTTTCACTTTTTCACTTGGCTCAGTTGCAAAGTTCGGTTGCTGGGAATCGAAAACGACCTGCTGCAATGTAATCACAGGAAACCTCTTCCCAACGCCTTGGTGGAGATTGGAAAAGCGTGTTTTTCCACCTCCTGTCGCTAGATGGCGGTCAGGCAACACCTGTGCCTAGAAAGCCATCAACACTGCATTGCTAGAAAGGCTGGGAGGAGAGGAGAGGCGCAGAGGAACTTCCTCTTCCGGATGGCTGATGGGAGGAAGTTGGTGTGCAGAGCGGCTTTTGTGCTGTTTCCATGGTGGAAGCAGCAGCTGGCAGGTGAGTGGAGGGCAGCAGGTGGGAGGAGAGTCCGGGAGCAACTTGGGCTGGAAGCGGAGAAGCAACTGGGCTGAAGCCTCTCAGCTGCGGCTGCTGCAGGTTCCTTCCCTCCCCAAATGGAAGCCCACTGGTGCTGCAGGCTGGGAAACTGGGGGCTGCAATTTCTGCTGGTGGGAAGCTTGAAAAAGCCTCTTTCAAGTGGAGGTTGGTTCTTTGGGAATGGCTTCCCTCCAGAGGTTGTGGCTGCTCCGTCCCTGGAGGGTTTTGAGGGGAGATTGGGCAGCCATTTGTTCTGGACGGAATAGGGTCTCCTGGCTGAACAGGGGATGGACTAGAAGACCTCCAAGGTCCCCCCAACTCAATTCTTCTCTTATGGACCTGATGTTTTCTGGGCAACAAGATCGGATTTATGTGTCTCTGGTCTTTTTTGGGTTGTTCTTGTTTTGTTCTACTTCCATTTCTAGCTAACAAGTATGTGTTTCCTATTGGTGCCCCCCCAGGCTCCACTGTGCTTAACCCAGCACTTTTTAAAAAATAGCTATTGAATGTTTGAACTGTTCAGGTGTATTTATTTATAAAATGTATTGGCCACCAACCTAACCGTGACATAACTGCGATTGATAGATATGGCTCAGTGAAATAAGAGACAGAGTCCAAGTGTGTGTGTGTGTGTGTGTGTGTGTGTTGATAAGCCAATGCATTTCTTCATCCTCCTAAGAAGGAAGGAACCCTCAGCGTAGTGAAAGGCAGATATTTATACATTTCTTTGCTTTCGCTTCACTACATAAGAGGCAGTTGGCACATGACAGATAAGATATAGAAATTATAAAAATAGTCAAGTTTGCCTTCTGTGCTTTTGGTCATTGCACCGTCTGACTTTGGGCTGAATTTCCTTGAACGTCCACTCCTGGGAAGATTAGCAACTCTCTTGAATCCTTTACACTTGTGAATAATCTTCCGCACTGTAGAATGATGGGTTTTTAATTGTTTGGAAATGACCTTTTAAACCTTCCCAAATTGATTGGCAGCAACAATTTCTTCTCTAAGATCATTGCTGATTCTTTATTCTTTGGCATTGTGTTAAACACACAACTCAGTGTCAGGGATAGATGTAATCATACTTGCTGATGATCAATTGATGAAGGGCATTTTATTAGCAGTACGTGGCTGCTACTTCCCCTCTTTATACTATGGAAGCAGTGAGAAATTTCCTAATGGTGAGAACAATTAACCAGGAGAACAGCTGGCCTTCAGAAGTTGTGGTGCTCCATCACTGGAAGCTTTTCAGAAGAGATGAGACAGCCATTTGTCTGAAATGATATAGGGTGACCTCCAAGGTCCCTTCCAATTCTGTTATTCTCTTCTGTTCTGTTGCAATGATATTTATGATACCCTGATAAGTAAAACCACAAGAAATCAAAGCAGGTGTAGTTTCTTTTTCAATTGATTGTATTTGAAAACAACCCTTTGCATTGCTAAGAATTTGTGATTGACTGAAGTCAACAATGGAATTTCATCATTGAATGGATATTCGAACTTGGATCTGGGTGGTCTTCCATGTCTCAATTGAATCATGATCAATGTAAGAGCTTATTGGAGCATTGTGGCATGTTTGCTTTTTCATTATAATGTAAACTTTTTTTCTTCTTTTCTCATCTTCTGCAACCATTTTATGCACAATTAAAGATACACTTTTATTTGAATCTTATAGACAAAGAAGATGGCAATGAGCACTCTGGACAACTGAGGATAACAAACAACTTTGAATAGCAAAACAAGTCAGTCCAGAAATCAAAATATTTCCCATTTCCTTCAGAGTGTCCCCCAGCAGGTGAGAGAGAAATGAGAGAAAATCAAGAAGACATTTCTAACTGGAAAAATAGAGTGTGAAATTAAAGCATACGTTACATGAAAAGTCAAGGGAGATTATTTTTCCATTCAGGAAAAGAGGGAAATATCTGGAAGTTACTGGGGAGGAAGCCACGTAGAGCAGACAGTGTTGCAGGCCTCGCTCTCGGAGGAAGAAAATCACCAGTAAATCAAAGCAGCACTAAAGGGATTATTCATATTTTTGACCACCTCAAGAATATTAGTTGTGGAAAAGCTCCATAGATGTTTCTGTTCTGGGAAAGATACAACTTGCAAATCACAGCTGATTATGCCAGAGGGGATCCATACTGGAGAAAAACCGTACAAATACTCTGAATGTGGCAAAAGCTTTGGTCAGAACAACTTGAGTTTCTTTCATGGATGGACCCACACAAGAGAGAAGCCCTACAAATGTTCCCAATGCAGTAAATGCTTTAGCAAGCATGGCAATGTGGACTCACACCAAGGAGAAACCCTTTGAATGTCCTGACTGTGGGAAAAGTTTCGTTCAGAATTCCAGCTTGGTTCAACACCAGAGGACTCACACAGTAGAGAAACCCTTTGAATGTCCTGATTGTGGGAAAAGTTTCAGTCAAAATTCCAATCTCATTGGCCACCAGAGGATTCACACAGGAGAGAAACCCTTTGAGTATCCTGATTGTGGGAAAAGTTTCAGTCGGAATGCCAACCTCATTGGCCACCAGAGGATTCACACAGGAGAGAAACCCTTTGAATGTCCTGACTGTGGGAAAAGTTTCAGTCAAAATTCCAACCTCATTGGCCACCAGAGGATTCACACAGGAGAGAAACCCTTTGAATGTCCTCACTGTGGGAAAAGTTTCAGTCAAAATTCCAACCTCATTGGCCACCACAGGATTCACACAGGAGAGAAACCCTTTGAATGTCCTGATTGTGGGAAAAGTTTCAGTCGGAATGCCAACCTCATTGGCCACCAGAGGACTCACACAGGAGAGAAACCCTTTGAATGTCCTGACTGTGGGAAAAGTTTCAGTCAAAATTCCAACCTCATTGGCCACCAGAGGATTCACACAGGAGTGAAACCCTTTGAATGTCCTGACTGTGGGAAATGTTTCAGTCAGAATTCCAGCCTGGTTCAACACCAAAGGATTCACACAGGAGTGAAACCCTTTGAATGTCCTGACTGTGGGAAAAGTTTCAGTCAGATTTCCAGCCTGGTTAAACACCAGAGGACTCACACAGGAGAGAAACCCTTTGAATGTCCTGATTGTGGGAAATGTTTCAGTGATAATTCCAGCTGGATTAGACACCAGAGAACTCACACAGGAGAGAAACCCTTTAAATGTCCTGATTGTGGGAAATGTTTCAGTGATAATTCCAGCTGGGTTAGACACCAGAGGACTCACACAGGAGAGAAACCATTTGAATGTCCTGATTGTGGGAAATGTTTCAGTGAAAATTCTAACTTGGTTAGACACCAGAGAACTCACACAGGAGAGAAACCATATGAGTGTCCAGACTGTGGGAAAGATTTCAGTACTAAGGATAGCCTTCTAAATCATACACACAGGGGAAAAACCATTTAAATGCCCCGAGTGTGTATGATGCTTCAGGAAACCTTCCAACCTTATCGTACACAAGAAAATCCACATGAGGCCCAAAGTGATGAGTGTAGACAGAGTTTGAATTTCATTTCTAATGTCACATTGTAAGTCCAGCTGAGAAATTGACTATTTAATTTGACTACAAAGAATTTGCCTGATTTTTTGTAGGCAAATATCTCATGATATTAGTCAGAAAGGAAGAAAGAAAAAATTGGAACATACTAGTTTGATAAAGGCTGTCTGGCCATCAGCAGCAGAAGTTGCTGAATATTTATTTTTGCAGAAATTGTGCAATTATGTAAAAATCTTTTTGGGTGTGTTCTTTGCATTTTTATCATGGTAGATGATAGAAATGCCACAGGCATAGTCCCAGCCTTTTTCTCCCTGGGTGCCCCCGAGATTTTCAGCCCCAGAATTCCCCCAGCCAGCATCTCTTTGGGATAGGAGCACTCAGACTATAGTTAGAGATTGTGGCTCCTCATATAATAGCAATAGGACTATCTAGACCCGCTCCAGTCCGGCTTCCGACCTAGGTACAGCACGGAAACGGCATTAGTCGCGTTGGTGGATGATCTCTGGAGGGCTCGGGATAGGGGTTGCTCCTCTATCCTGGTCCTGTTAGATCTCTCAGCGGCTTTTGATACCATTGACCATGGTATCATGTTGCACCGGTTGAAGGGGCTGGGGGTGGGGAGCACCATTCTGCGGTGGTTCTCCTCCTACCTCTCTGACCGGTGGCAATCTGTGTTGAGAGGGGGGCAGCAGTCGACCCCTGATGACTTAGTATTTATATTAGAAGATCCGTTGATATCGGGACCGTGTCTGACCCAGGAAATAGAAAAATATGGTAAGGTGGCGGGATTAAAAGTCAATAGGGAAAAAACTAAAATTATTGCCAAAAATTTAACAGTAAAGCAAGGGAAAGAATTAGAAGTGAATTTGGGGTTCCAAATTGTAAACAAACTAAAATACCTAGGCATTATTATATCAGCCAAATGCTCCACGATCAAAGAAGACAACTATCTGAACCTTCTCAAGAGAACAGGTCAGGATCTAGAGAAATGGAAGAGCATGCAGATATCCCTACTAGGTAGAATAGCAATTATAAAAACTTACATACTTCCAAAATTGATATACCTATTCTACACAGCACCAGTTAGACTGGATAACAATTTTTAAAAAAAAATAAATTCTTATGTCCTTAAATTCATTTGGCAAAATAAAAAACCCAGAATTAAACTTAAAATGCTTCAAGAACTTAAAGAAAGAGGAGGATTTGGTGTTCCAAAATGGGAATACTACTATCAGGCCGCAAATTTAGTCTGGATCAGGGATTGGATATTGCTGAGAAGAAGGAGGTTGTTGATTTTGGAAGGTGAGGGGTTACATCAAGGATGGCATTATTTTCTTTGGCAAAATAAAATCCCAAAGCACAGGTGTCTTGCAGGACATTATGTGAGGAATATTCTAATTGAGTCGTGGAGGAAAATTAAGGGTAAATTTTACTTTTCAGTCCCCTCCTGGCTGGTCCCACTCGAAGCTATAACGTATAGGCCTCTATATAACAAAGAAAATCACCTCTCTTACCGGGAACTTTTGGACCCCCATGGCAGTCTGAAAACAAGAAATGAGTTGGAGTTGCAGGGAAGACAACTGGATTGGTGGGCTTATGCCCAAATTTGCTCGAAATTTAAAAAAGATAGGAAACAAGTTAGTATTAATTTGAATCAGCATGATCTGGACAATATCATTCTAGGAAAAGAGAATAAAATGTTATCAAGGATATATAAACTTCTAATAGATTATTGGATAGGGGATGAAATAGTTAAAGACTCTATGATTGCCTGGGGGAGAAATATTGGTTATCCAATTGATTTGACCAAATGGGAAGAAATCTGGCTCAAACATATGAAACTCCTGTGGGCAACATCATATAAAGAAAATGTGTACAAGATGCTGTATAGATGGCACCTTCCACCTGCCCATGGAGGCCGTGTGGGCCTGGATGGGGAGAAACAGGCTCCGACCCTTCCAAGACCGAGTGGCTGTGGCTTCTGGCATCCTGATATAGCCAGCTGGTGCCATCGCTGGCTATCGGGAGCGAATCACTGGCCCCCACGGAGAGGGCTCGCAACTTAGGTGTCCTCCTGGATCCACGGCTGTCTTTAGAAGAGCACATGACGGCCGTGGCCAGGGGGGCTTTTTATCAGGTTCACCTGATACGCCAGTTGCGCCCCTTTCTGGATCGGGACTCCCTACGCACGGTCACTCAAGCACTTGCCACTTCCCGCCTGGACTACAGCAATGCTCTCTACATGGGGCTCCCCTTGGGGTGCACCCGGAGGCTACAGTTATTCCAGAATGCGGCCGCGCGGGGGATTATGGGAGCGACGAGGTGCTCACATATGACACCTCTCCTGCGCGAGCTGCACTGGCTTCCTGTGGTCTTCCGGGTGCGCTTCAAGGTGTTGGTGACCACCTTTAAAGCGCTCCATGGCTTAGGGCCGGGTTATCTGCGAGACCGCCTTCTGCCGCCAATAGCCTCCCACCGACCGGTTCGCTCGCACAGAGAGGGCCTCCTCAGGGTGCCGTCGGCCAGACAGTGTCGGCTGGCGACCCCCAGGGGGAGAGCCTTCTCTGTGACAGCACCCGCCCTCTGGAATGACCTACCCCCTGAGATACGCACGATATCAGACCTCTGGACTTTTCGTTGGGCCCTGAAAACACACCTATTCCATCTAGCTGGGCTGGCTTGATCCCATCCTCTCAGTTTTAATTGAATTTAGTTTTAATTGGGTTGTTTTTAATATGTTGGGCCGAAATTATTTAATTGTTTTTTAAATTGTTTTTAAATTTTATATACAATGTTTTATCTTGGCTGTACTCCGCCCTGAGTCCCGCAGGAGAAGGGCGGTATAGAAATAAAATTATAATAATAAAAATAATAATTATAGGACCTTGACTTATTTACTGCTTCACATTGCTTTATAGCTCTCTCTAAGTGGTTTACATAGTCAGCATATTGCCCCCAACAATCTGGGTCCTCATTTTACCGACCTCGGAAGGATAGAAAGCCAAGTCAACCTTGAGCCGGTGGGAATTGAGCTGCTAAACTTGCCACCATGGCTCTTATGAGGAGAAAGTGAGCGTAGAGTGGAGGGATTCAAAGTTCATCTTTTCCTAACTGTTCCAGGAATTCAGCGCACGAAGCATGTCTGTTCAGATTGTGTCAAGAATGAGGCACGCAAGTGGAAGAAACCACATGAATAGCAAATATTTTGGGGGAGTTTGGGGCAGTGACAAAACCAGTGTAAAATTTCAGATGTAAAGGCTGTTCTGCCCTGCAGGTGACCTTCATGAAGAGCTGTAGAAATACTGAGTTGAGGAGAAAAGGGATTGTGGTTTTCAGCACAGGATCTCCAGGTTTATTCACAACTGCTGTGATCTCCTTTGTTTTTAGGGGCCTCCTTGTTAAGACTTTGACAGCTGGGGCCTGAGAGCAGCACCAAGGGACTGATACTTTTGTGGTTCTCCCCCCTTGGTGGGGATATGTGAGAAAAAAGTTGTACAGTAGATAATCAAGCAAAATTAAATAAAGCCAACCTAAGAGTCAGAGCGGATGGTCTATAGAGCGAGGTCAAAAGCCATAAGTCCCTACTCAGACGAACAGTCCATTTCCTCAGAATTAAAAGTTGAAGCTCAGATTGAAAGGTGGAAAGTAGGTGTTATGTGGAAGATACTGGATCTTGAAAGCTGCAGCCTTGAATTTAGGGCTGGAGTAGCAGGAACAGCTGCATGGATAGATTTTTTGGGGAGGAAGAAAGCCCAGTTTGGTGGTCACCAGGCTACAGCCTGAGAGACGCTCATTTCCGGTCCTGCTTTAGGCACAAAGCCATTTCAGAGGCCTTGGCCTGTCCCGTCCTCTCAGGTCTTTGAAGGGAAATCTGCTTACAAAAAATCTTGCCAAGGAAACTGCAGAGAAACGGGAGTGCAGGATAACTCCCCAAAACCTACTTTTGCAACTTTGGAGAGTGAAGCCTGACCTACTTAGCTTCCCAAGATTATGTTGTGCCATAAATATTTATGAAGTTCTTGTTTGTATGCACAGCTGCTAAATTATATCCAGCTTCATCCTATGAATAGAATAATGAAACCTGGAACAGTAACAATAACACCCACCTTCCAAACCACATCTAGATAGGAGAGATTCTTTCTGTCTGCATCCTTTGGGCAAAAGACTTGGAGGGCAATACTTTGCAAAAAGCTGACGTATAGATTTTGCACTTTCTTAGGGGTGACTCAGTGGAGATCAAAACCTCTCTACATCCCCCAAACTTTATGACTGATTTGCTGTGTCTGCCAAGGATTTAAGACCCAGGAGAATCAGTGGGTCAGAGGCTCAAAGGGAGCCAGCTTCATTCCTGCTGCCCAGAGCTGCTTCCAAGCACACCCATGCTAAATGCCTTGTGCGTCTGTAACTTTGCATACACAGAAGTCTCCATTAGGTCAAAGTGAGAAAGTCACATACCCAGCAGGGCTAGAAAAGGGGGTTTAAGAAGGAGATGACTGTCTGTATATGGTAAGAGAAATGTTTCCAAAAGGCATTTCCAAGGGCTGGAAAAAAGATTGGTAATACAGATGTTCATGCAACAATGTACCACTCTTTGTTTGATACCCATTCCTTTTTTACATTCAAAATATTAATCTAATAAAATATACAAAATCCTTGCCAAGGAAACTGCAAGGCCGGGCATCAAAACTGAGTCTTTGTTTGATACACATTCCTTTTTTTAATTAGAAAATTTAATGTAATAAAATATATAAATCAAACAAAAACAAAGAATGGATAGAGAGAAGCAGGAAAGGAATCGGAAAAAGAAAAATATAATTGCACCTTCCTCCTTTTTCTCTGTTGAGAAATTGTCATCACGCATTCTTATATAGAAATTATCTCTGCTCAGTTGACCAGAATAAAAACTGCAAGGCCAGGCATCAAGACTGACCCAAAGGCACCAAAACCGAAGTAGCATCACGTTTCACTTTTTCACTTGGCTCAGTTGCAAAGGTCGGTTGCTGGGAATCGAAAACGACGTGCTGCAATGTAATCACAGGAAACCTTCCCAACGCCTTGGTGGAGATTGGAAAAGCGTGTTTTTCCACCTCCTGTCGCTAGATGGCGGTCAGGCAACATCTGTGCCTAGAAAGCCATCAACACTGCATTGCTAGAAAGGCTGGGAAGAGAGGAGAAGAGAGGCGCAGAGGAACTTCCTCTTCCGGATGACTGATGGGAGGAAGTTGGTGTGCAGAGCGGCTTTTGTGCTGTTTCCATGGTGGAAGCAGCAGCTGCCAGGTGAGTGGAGGGCAGCAGGTGGGAGGAGAGTCCGGGAGCAACTTGGGCTGGAAGCGGAGAAGCAACTGGGCTGAAGCCTCTCAGCTGCGGCTGCTGCAGGTTCCCTCCCTCCCCAAATGGAAGCCCACTGGTGCTGCAGGCTGGGAAACTGGGGGCTGCAATTTCTGCTGGTGGGGAGCTTGAAAAAGCCTCTTTCAAGTGGAGGTTGGTTCTTTGGGAATGGCTTCCCTCCAGAGGTTGTGGCTGCTCCGTCCCTGGAGGGTTTTGAGGGGAGATTGGGCAGCCATTTGTTCTGGACGGAATAGGGTCTCCTGGCTGAACAGGGGATGGACTAGAAGACCTCCAAGGTCCCCCCAACTCAATTCTTCTCTTATGGACCTGATGTCTTCTGGGCAACAAGATCGGATTTATTTGCCTCTGGTCTTTTTTGGGTTGTTCTTGTTTTGTTCTACTTCCATTTCTAGCTAAGAAGTATGTGTTTCCTATTGGTGCCCCCCCAGGCTCCACTGTGCTTAACCCAGCACTTTTTTAAAAATAGCTATTGAATGTTTGTATTTATTTATAAAATGTATTGGCCACCAACCTTACCGTGACATAACTGCGATTGATAGATATGGCTCAGTGAAATAAGAGACAGAGTCCAAGTGTGTGTGTGTGTGTGTGTGTTGATAAGCCAATGCATTTCTTCATCCTCCTAAGAAGGAAGGAACCCTGAGCGTAGTGAAAGGCAGATATTTATACATTTCTTTGCTTTCGCTTCATTACATAAGAGGCAGTTGGCACATGACAGAGAAGATATAGAAATAATAAAAATAGTCAAGTTTGCCTTCTGTGGTTTTGGTCACGTGCTAACCCATAGGCTAGTATTTCCTATAAAGTTTTCCATGGCTTCAAAAGCCTTTTTTTTAAAAAATTTGATTTATATGCCGCCCTTCTCCGGAGACTCAGGGCGGCTTACCATGTGCTCAGCAATTTTGAGGCCTGAACTTCAGCCTTGCCATCTCAACATACGAGCAATCATCCAATTCATCCAATTTCTGATTAACAATAGCTCAGAAGGTTTCAGATGTTTTTCAGACTTCAAAGACATGTATTATCTTCATATTGTAGGTGTGTATATTTTTATTTCTAAATGTACATACCTGCAAATGTATAATCTATCCCCAGGACCTCCAGATAAACAGTCATGTGACTGGCTTCCCGGGAGGTTACACGAGGCTGGCTCCAGGGTATTATCAATGCTTCGTTGAGTGAGGGTTACTTCCCCGCGGCCTTGAAAGAGGCGGTGGTGAGGCCTCTCCTCAAGAAGCCGTCCCTGGATCCGGCAATATTGGCCAACTATCGTCCTGTCTCCAACCTTCGCTTCATGGCGAAGGTTGTTGAGAGTGTGGTCGCGCGACAGTTTCCACAATTCCTGGAGGAAACATCTTATCTAGATCCATTCCAGTCGGGTTTCAGGTCTGGGCACAGCACGGAAACGGCATTGGTCGCGTTGGTTGATGATCTCTGGAGGGCTCGGGACAGGGGTTGCTCCTCTGTTCTGGTCCTGTTAGACCTCTCAGCGGCTTTTGATACCATCGACCATGGTATCATGCTGCACCGGCTGGAAGAGTTGGGGGTGGGAGGCACCGTATTGCGGTGGTTCTCCTCCTTTCTCTCCGACCGGTCGCAGTTTGTGTTGGCAGGGGGGCAGAGGTCGACCTCAAGGCCTCTTATATGTGGAGTGCCTCAGGGGTCGGTCCTCTCGCCCCTCCTGTTCAACATTTATGTGAAGCCGCTGGGCGAGATCATCCGTGGCTTTGGGGTGAGATACCACCAGTACGCTGATGACACCCAGCTGTACATCTCCACCCCAGGCCACCCCAACGATGCCCTTGAAGTGATGTCTCAGTGCCTGGAGGCTGTGCGGATCTGGATGGGGAGGAACAGGCTCAGACTCAACCCTTCCAAGACTGAGTGGCTGTGGCTCCCGGCATCCCGATATAGTCAGTTGACTCCATCATTGACTATTGGGGGCGAATCCTCGGCCCCCACAGAAAGGGCTCGCAATCTGAGAGTCCTCCTGGATATCCAGCTGTCCTTGGAGGAACATCTGACGGCTGTAACCAGGGGGACCTTTTATCAGGTTCGCCTGATTCGCCAGTTGCGGCCCTTTCTTGATCGGGATTCCCTGTGCACAGTCACTCACACCCTCGTCACCTCTCGCCTTGACTACTGCAATGCTCTCTACATGGGGCTCCCCTTGAGGGGCACCCGGAGGCTCCAGCTGGTCCAGAACGCAGCAGCGCGGGTAGTGATGGGAGCAGCATGGCGCTCCCATGTAACACCGCTCCTGCGCGAGCTGCACTGGCTCCCGGTGGTCTTCCGGGTGCGCTTCAAGGTGTTGGTTATCACCTTTAAAGCGCTCCATGGCATAGGGCCTAGCTATCTTCGAGACCGCCTGCTGCTACCGACGACCTCCCATCGACCCGTGCGCTCCCACAGAGAGGGCCTCCTCAGGGTGCCATCAGCCAAACAATGTAGGCTGGTGACCCCCAGGGGGAGAGCCTTCTCTGTGGGGGCACCTACCCTCTGGAATCAGCTGCCCCAGAGATAAGGAGAATCCAAGACCTCAGTGCCTTCCGCCGTGCCCTTAAAACCCACTTTTTCCAGCAAGCCGGGCTGGCTTAGGAAGAAATTTTTTAAAATTTTTAAATGTTTAATTGGTTTGTGGTTTTTTTAAATTTTGGGCCAAATTTATATAGATTTTAATTGTTTTTAATATTTGTATTTCATGTTTTTAATTCTGGCTGTGCACCGCCCTGAGTCCTCAGGGAGAAGGGCGGTATATAAATTGAAAAATAAAATAAATAAAATAAATCATTGAATGGATATTCGAACTTGGATCTGGGTGGTCTTCCATGTGTCAATTGAATCATGATCAATGTAAGAGCTTATTGGAGCATTGTGGCATGTTTGCTTTTTCATTATAATGTAAACTTTTTTCTTCTTTTCTCATCTTCTGCAACCATTTTATGCACAATTAAAGATACACTTTTATTTGAATCTTATAGACAAAGAAGATGGCAATGAGCACTCTGGACAACTGAGGATAACAAACAACTTTGAATAGCAAAACAAGTCAGTCCAGAAATCAAAATATTTCCCATTTCCTTCAGAGTGTCCCCCAGCAGGTGAGAGAGAAATGAGAGAAAATCAAGAAGAGATTTCTAACTGGAAAAATAGAGTGTGAAATTAAAGCATACATTGCATGAAAAGTCAAGGGAGATTATTTTTCCATTCAGGAAAAGAGGGAAATATCTGGAAGTTACTGGGGAGGAAGCCACGTAGAGCAGACAGTGTTGCAGGCCTCGCTCTGGGAGGAAGAAAATCACCAGTAAATCAAAGCAGCACTAAAGGCATTATCCATATTTTTGACCACCTCAAGAATATTAGTTGTGGAAAAGCTCCATAGACGTTTCTGTTCTGGGAAAGATATAACTTGCAAATCACAGCTGATTATGCCAGAGGGGATCCAGACTGGAGAAAAATCGTACAAATACTCTGAATGTGGCAAAAGCTTTAGTCAGAACAACTTCATTTTCTTTCATGGAAGGACCCACACAAGAGGGAAGCCCTACAAATGTTCCCAATGCGGTAAATGCTTTAGCAAGCATGGCAACGTGGACTCACACCAAGGAGAAACCCTTTAAATGTCCTGACTGTGGGAAAAGTTTCAGTCAAAATTCCAACCTCATTGGCCACCAGAGGATTCACACAGGAGAGAAACCCTTTGAACATCCTGACTGTGGGAAAAGTTTCAGTCATAATTCCAGCCTGGTTCAACACCAGAGGATTCATATAGGAGTGAAACTCTTTGAATGTCCTGATTGTGGGAAATGTTTCAGTCAAAATTCCAGCCTGATTAAACACAAGAGGACTCACACAGGAGAGAAACCCTTTGAATGTCCTGATTGTGGGAAAAGTTTCAGTCAGAATTCCAGCCTGGTTCAACACCAGAGGATTCACACAGGAGTGAAACCATTTGAATGTCTTGATTGTGGGAAAAGTTTCAGTCAGAATTCCAAGCTCATTGGCCACCAGAGGACTCACACAGGAGAGAAACCCTTTGAATGTCCTGACTGTGGGAAAAGTTTCAGTCTAAATACCAACCTCATTGACCACCAGAGGACTCACACAGGAGAGAAACCCTTTGAATGTCCTGATTGTGGGAAAAGTTTCAGTCAGAATTCCAGCCTGGTTAAACACCAGAGGACTCACACAGGAGAGAAACCCTTTGAATGTCCTGATTGTGGGAAAAGTTTCAGTCAGAATACCAGTCTGGTTCAACACCAAAGGATTCACACAGGAGAGAAACCGTTTGAATGTCCTGACTGTGGGAAAAGTTTCAGTCAGAATTCCAGTATGGTTAAACACCAGGGGACTCACACAGGAGAAAAACCCTTTGAATGTCCTGATTGTGGGAAAAGTTTCAGTCGGAAGTACAACCTCATTGGCCACCAGAGGACTCACACAGGAGAGAAACCCTTTGAATGTCCTGATTGTGGGAAAAGTTTCAGTCGGAAGTACAACCTCATTGGCCACCAGAGGATTCACACAGGGGAGAAACCCTTTGAATGTCCTGATTGTGGGAAAAGTTTCAGTCATAATTCCAGCCTGGTTAAACACCAGAGGATTCACATAGGAGTGAAACCCTTTGAATGCCCTGATTGTGGGAAATGTTTCAGTGATGATTCCAGCTGGATTAGACACCAGATAACTCACACAGGAGAGAAACTATTTGAATGTCCTGATTATGGGAAATGTTTCGATTAGAATTCCAGCTTGGTTCAACACCAGAGGATTCACTCAGGAGAGAAACCGTTTGAATGTCCTGACTGTGGGAAAAGTTTCAGTTGAAATTCCACCCTCATTGGCCACAAGAGGATTCACACAGGAGAGAAACCCTTTGAATGTCCTGACTGTGGGAAATGTTTTAGTCAGAATTCCAGCTAGGTTAAACACCAGAGGAATCATACAGGAGAGAAACCCTTTAAATGTCCTGATTGTGGGAAGTGTTTCAGTGATAATTCCAGCTGGATTAGACACCAGATAACTCACACAGGAGAGAAACCATTTGAATGTCCTGATTGTGGGAAATGTTTCAGTGAAATTTCTAGCTTGGTTAGACACCAGAGAACTCACACAGGAGAGAAACCATATGAGTGTCCAGACTGTGGGAAAGATTTCAGTACTAAGGATAGCCTTCTAAATCATACACACAGGGGAAAAACCATTTAAATGCCCCGAGTGTGCATGATGCTTCAGGAAACCTTCCAACCTTATCGTACACAAGAAAATCCACATGAGGCCCAAAGTGATGAGTGTAGACAGAGTTTGAATTTCATTTCTAATGTCACCTTGTAAGTCCAGCTGAGAAATTGACCATTTAATTTGACTACAAAGAATTTGCCTGATTTTTTGTAGGCAAATATCTCATGATATTAGTCAGAAAGGAAGAAAGAAAAAATTGGAACATACTAGTTTGATAAAGGCTGTCTGGCCATCAGCAGCAGAAGTTGCTGAATATTTATTTTTGCAGAAATTGTGCAATTATGTAAAAATCTTTTTGGGAGTGTTCTTTGCATTTTTATCATGGTAGATGATAGAAATGCCAGAGGCATAGTCCCAGCCTTTTTCTCCCTGGGTGCCCCCGAGATTTTCAGCCCCAGAATTCCCCCAGCCAGCATCTCTTTGGGATAGGAGCACCCAGACTATAGTTAAGAGATTGTGGCTCCTCATATAATAGCAATAGCACCTTGACTTATTTACCGCTTCACAGTGCTTTATAGCCCTCTCTGAGTGGTTTACATAGTCAGCATATTGTCCCCAACAATCTGGGTCCTCAGTTTACCCACCTCGGAAGGATAGAAAGCCAAGTCAACCTTGAGCCGGTGGGAATTGAGCTGCCAAACTGCGCCACCATGGCTCTTATGAGGAGAAAGTGAGCGTAGAGTGGAGGGATTCAAAGTTCATCTTTTCCTAACTGTTCCAGGAATTCAGCGCACGAAGCATGTCTGTTCAGATTGTGTCAAGAATGAGGCATGCAAATGGAAGAAACCACATAAATAGCAAATATTTTGGGGGAGTTTGGGGCAGTGACAAAACCAGTGTAAAATTTCAGATGTAAAGGCTGTTCTGCCCTGCAGGTGACCTTCATGAAGAAGAGCTGTAGAAATAGTTGAGGAGAAAAGGGATTGTGGTTTTCAGCACAGGGTCTCCAGGTTTATTCACAACTCCTGCTGTGATCTACTTTGTTTTTAGGGGCCTCCTTGTTAAGACTTTGACAGCTGGGGCCTGAGAGCAGCACCAAGGGACTGATACTTTTGTGGTTCTCCCCTCTTGGTGGGGAGATGTGAGAAAAAAATTGTACAGTAGATAATCAAGCAAAATTAAATAAAGCCAACCTAAGAGTCAGAGCGGATGGTCTATAGAGCGAGCTCAAAAGCCATAAGTCCCTACTCAGACGAACAGTCCATTTCCTCAGAACCAAACTTTGAAGCTCAGATTGAAAGGTGGAAAGTAGGTGTTATATTTGGAAGATACTGGATCTTAAAAACTGCAGCCTTGAATTTGGGGCTGGAGTAGCAGGAACAGCTGTATGGATAGATTTTTTGGGGAGGAAGAAAGCCCAGTTTGGTGGTCACCAGGCTACAGCCTGAGAGACGCTCATTTCCGGTCCTGCTTTAGGCACAAAGCCATTCAGAGGCCTTGGCCTGTCCCGTCCTCTCAGGTCTTTGAAGGGAAATCTGCTTACAAAAAACCTTGCCAAGGAAACTGCAGAGAAACGGGAGTGCAGGATAACTCCCCAAAACCTACTTTTGCAACTTTGGAGAGTGAAGCCTGACCTACTTAGCTTCCCAAGATTAGGGACGTGTTGTGCCATAAATATTTATGAAGTTCTTGTTTGTATGCACAGCTGCTAAATTATTTCCAGCTTCATCCTTTGAATAGAATAATGAAACCTGGAACAGTAACAATAACACCCACCTTCCAAACCACATCTAGATAGGAGAGATTCTTTCTGTCTGCATCCTTTGGGCAAAAGACTTGGAGGGCAATACTTTGCAAAAAGCTGACGTATAGATTTTGCACTTTCTTAGGGGTGACTCAGTGGAGATCAAAACCTCTCTACATCCCCCAAACTTTATGACTGATTTCCTGTGTCTGCCAAGGATTTAAGACCCAGGAGAATCAGTGGGTCAGAGGCTCAAAGGGAGCCAGCTTCATTCGTGCTGCCCAGAGATGCTTCCAAGCACACCCATGCTAAATGCCTTGTGCGTCTGTAACTTTGCATACACAGAAGTCTCCATTAAGTCAAAGTGAGAAAGTCACATACCCAGCAGGGCTGGAAAAGGGGGTTTAACAAGAGGAGATGACTGCCTGTATATGGTAAGAGAAATGTTTCCAAAAGGCATTTCCAAGGGCTGGAAAAAAGATTGGTAATACAGATGTTCATGCAACAATGTACCACTCTTTGTTTGATACCCATTCCTTATTTACATTCAAAATATTAATCTAATAAAATATACAAAATCCTTGCCAAGGAAACTGCAAGGCCGGGCATCAAAACTGAGTCTTTGTTTGATACACATTCCTTTTTTTAATTAGAAAATTTAATGTAATAAAATATATAAATCAAACAAAAACAAAGAATGGATATAGAGAAGCCGGAAAGGAATCGGAAAAAGAAAAATATAATTGCACCTTCCTCCTTTTTCTCTGTTGAGAAATTGTCATCACACATTCTTATATAGAAATTATCTCTGCTCAGTTGACCAGAATAAAAACTGCAAGGCCAGGCATCAAGACTGACCCAAAGGCACCAAAACCGAAGTAGCATCACGTTTCACTTTTTCACTTGGCTCAGTTGCAAAGGTCGGTTGCTGGGAATCGAAAACGACGTGCTGCAATGTAATCACAGGAAACCTTCCCAACGCCTTGGTGGAGATTGGAAAAGCGTGTTTTTCCACCTCCTGTCGCTAGATGGCGGTCAGGCAACATCTGTGCCTAGAAAGCCATCAACACTGCATTGCTAGATAGGATGGGAAGAGAGGAGAAGCGCAGAGGAACTTCCTCTTCCGGATGGCTGATGGGAGGAAGTTGGTGTGCAGAGCGGCTTTTGTGCTGTTTCCATGGTGGAAGCAGCAGCTGGCAGGTGAGTGGAGGGCAGCAGGTGGGAGGAGAGTCCGGGAGCAACTTGGGCTGGAAGCGGAGAAGCAACTGGGCTGAAGCCTCTCAGCTGCGGCTGCTGCAGGTTCCCTCCCTCCCCAAATGGAAGCCCACTGGTGCTGCAGGCTGGGAAACTGGGGGCTGCAATTTCTGCTGGTGGGAAGCTTGAAAAAGCCTCTTTCAAGTGGAGGTTGGTTCTTTGGGAATGGCTTCCCTCCAGAGGTTGTGGCTGCTCCGTCCCTGGAGGGTTTTGAGGGGAGATTGGGCAGCCATTTGTTCTGGACGGAATAGGGTCTCCTGCCTGAACAGGGGATGGACTAGAAGACCTCCAAGGTCCCCCCAACTCAATTCTTCTCTTATGGACCTGATGTTTTCTGGGCAACAAGATCAGATTTATGTGTCTCTGGTCTTTTTTGGGTTGTTCTTGTTTTGTTCTACTTCCATTTCTAGCTAACAAGTATGTGTTTCCTATTGGTGCCCCCCCAGGCTCCACTGTGCTTAACCCAGCACTTTTTTAAAAATAGCTATTGAATGTTTGAACTGTTCAGGTGTATTTATTTATAAAATGTATTGGCCACCAACCTTACCGTGACATAACTGCGATTGACAGATATGGCTCAGTGAAATAAGAGACAGAGTCCAAGTGTGTGTGTGTGTGTGTGTGTGTTGATAAGCCAATGCATTTCTTCATCCTCCTAAGAAGGAAGGAACCCTCAGCGTAGTGAAAGGCAGATATTTATACATTTCTTTGCTTTCGCTTCATTACATAAGAGGCAGTTGGCACATGACAGAGAAGATATAGAAATAATAAAAATAGTCAAGTTTGCCTTCTGTGGTTTTGGTCACGTGCCTGAACCATAGGCTAGTGTTCCCTGTGAAATTTTCCATCTTATAAAAGATACAAACATTTTCTCCCCCCTCCCACCGCTCCACCCTCACCCCATCCCACCCCCTTGCCCGCCCACCCCCATCCCTAGACTTCCCAGAACAAGCACAGGGTATAGCATTCACAAACATAAAACTAAAATATGCTAACAATTTGTTGGGTTCAAATTCTCCCTAGTTCTTTAACTCCTTATAACTCAAAACACTAAAAACATAAACTAAAGATTAAAAATGTTTCATTCATAAGCTATATGAAACTTCTTAGTCTGATAGTTATTTTGAATATAGTCAATCCACCTTCTCCATTCCTATATATATCTTTCGTTTGAGTGATCTTTAAGATATGATGAAATTTTTGCCATCTCTGCCAAATGCGCGACTTTTAATGTCCATTCCTCAATAGTAGGTGGATCTTCTTTCTTCCAATACTGTGCCACCAGTAACCTGGCTGCTGTTATTAAGTTTAAAACCAACTTAGTCTCTGTCACAGTACATTCTGTAACTATTCCCAACAAAAGAGCCTTGATAGTACAGTGGTCTAAGCACTCTGTTATTAACACAGCTGCCTGCAATTACTGCTGGTTCGAATCTCTCCAAGGCTCAAGGTTGACTCAGCCTTCCATCCTTTCAAAGGTAGGTGAAATGAGGACCCAGTTTGTGGGGGCAATAAGCTGACTTTGTATAAAATATACAAAAGTATGAAGGCTATTGCTTAACGCATTGTAAGATGCCCTGAGTCTCCGGAGAAGGGCGTCATATAAATCAAATGGAAAAAAACAACTGTGGTGTAAATTTGATCTTTTTCTTTAAAATATTTTGAATAATCCACCATATTTTTATCCAAAAAGCCTTAATTTTTTTACATGTCCACCATGTATGAAAATACGTAGTGTCTTCACACTCACATTGCCAACATTTAGGTTGTAAATTTGGATACATACAGGCTAGTTTTTTTGGATCTAAATGCCATCTATAAAAGATTTTATAAAAGTTCTCTCTTAAATTTTGGGCTTGTGTAAATCTTACATTTCTAACCCATATCTTTTCCCATGTTTCCATCATTATTGGTTCTCCTATATTTTGTGCCCATTTTATCATACAATCCTTGACTAGCTCTGTTTCTGAATGTATTTCCACTAATACATTATACAACCTTTTTATATGCATTTGACTTTTGTCTCTTATTTGTTTTATCAAGTTCTCATCCTGTTGCAAAATACCAGTTTTCTGATCTTCTCCCCATCTGGCCTGCAGCTGTCCATACTGAAACCAAGTTCTAATGGACCTGGATGAAACCGTCTATCTAGATCCGTTCCAGTCCGGCTTCAGGCCCGGGTACAGCACGGAAACGGCATTGGTCGCGTTGGTTGATGATCTCTGGAGGGCTCGGGACAGAGGTTGTTCCTCTGTTCTGGTCCTATTAGACCTCTCAGCGGCTTTTGATACCATCGACCATGGTATCATGCTGCGCCGGTTGGAGGGGTTGGGAGTGGGAGGCACTGTTTTACGGTGGTTCTCCTCCTATCTCTCCGACCGGTCGCAGTCTGTGTTGGCTGGAGGGCAGAGGTCGACCTCAAGGCACTTGGTTTGTGGGGTGCCACAAGGGTCGGTCCTCTCGCCTCTCCTGTTCAACATTTATGTGAAGCCGCTGGGCGAGATCATCCGTGGTTTTGGGGTGCAGTGCCATTTGTACGCTGATGACACCCAGCTGTACATCTCCACCCCAGACCACCCCAACGATGCCCTTGAAGTGATGTCCCGGTGCCTGGAGGCGGTGCGGGTCTGGATGGGGAGGAACAGGCTCCGACTCAATCCCTCCAAGACTGAGTGGCTGTGGCTGCCGGCGTCCCGATATAGTCAGCTGGTGCCATCGCTGACTATTGGGGGCGAGACATTGGCCCCCACGGAGAGGGCGCGTAACTTGGGTGTCCTCCTGGACGCACGGCTGTCTTTAGAAGAGCATATGATGGCCGTGGCCAGGGGGGCTTTCTATCAGGTTCGCCTGATACGCCAGTTGCGCCCCTTTCTGGATCGGGACTCCCTATGCACGGTCACTCATGCCCTCGTTACTTCCCGCCTCGACTACTGCAACGCTCTCTACATGGGGCTCCCCTTGAGGAGCACTCGGAGGCTCCAACTGGTGCAGAATGCGGCCACGCGGGTACTTATGGGGGCAACATGGCGCTCCCACGTTTCACCTCTCCTGCGCGAGCTGCATTGGCTTCCAGTGGTCTTCCGAGTGCGCTTCAAGGTGTTGGTTCTTATCTTCAAAGCACTCCATGGGTTAGGACCCGGTTATTTACGAGACCACCTTCTGCCTCCGATAACCTCCCACCGGCCAACACGCTCCCACAGAGAGGGTCTCCTCAGGGTGCCATCTGTCAGGCAATGTTGGCTGGCGACCCCCCGGGGAAGAGCCTTCTCTGTGGGGGCACCCGCCCTCTGGAATGAGCTACCCCCAGGGATACGACTAATCCCGGACCTCCGGACCTTCCGCCGGGCCCTGAAGACTTTTTTATTTCAGCAAGCCAGGCTGGGTTAAAAATTTTTAATTGGGTGAATTTTATGGGTAATGGGGTTTTAAATTGGAGAAGCCTAAGATAATTTAATTTTGTTTTAATGTATTTTAATATTTGTATTGTGTGTTTTTAATTCTGGCTGTTCACCGCCCCGAGTCCTTCGGGAGAGGGGGCGGTATAAAAATTTAATAAATAAATAAATAAATAAATAAATATTCCTTCTTCTCTTAATTGTTCCATAGATTTTAGTTGTAATCTAACTCCTTCTTTATAAAGGAGTTCCTTTTATGTAATCGTATCTTGTTTTTGCTCCACATTTATATTCTCTATCGCGTGTCTGGGTACTGTCCATATTGGTAACTTATTGTTTAATTTGTATTGATACTTCTTCCAGACACGCAATAAAGCATTCTTTAATATATGACTTTTAAAAGTCTTATCTACTTTCTTATCATACAATAAATAAGCAGCCATAGACCAGACCATATCCTTCAATGTTTCATATCCTTTCCTCCGTTAAATTTAGCCAATCATTAACTGCTGAGAGGGCAGCAGCTTCATAATACAATCTTAAAATGGGCATTTGAAGACCTCCTCTTTCTCGTGTATCTTGCATTATCTTTTGATTTACTCTCGGTTTCTTCCCTGCCCACACAAATTTATTTATGCCCTTCTGCCATTCCTTCAAATTTTCAACTTTTTAAGTATAGGTATCATTTGAAAAAAAAAATAAAAACCTTAGTAAGACATTCATTTTTACTGCCGCTATCCTTCCCAGCAAGGACAATTGTAATTTTTTGCACTTTTCCATCTCTTTCTGTATTTTTTGCCACAACGGTTCATAATTGTGCTGATATAGTTTCATATTTGTGGTCACAATATAAACCCCTAAATATTTAACCTTCTTTCCTATCTCAAATCCTGTTACCCTTTCTATCTCTTCTTTTTGGCTTCTAGTCATATTTTTAGCTATTATCTTTGTTTTAGCTGTATTTATTTTAAAACCAGATACTTGTCCATATGGGTTAATTATATCCATCAAGGCTGTAATCGATTGTGCTGGTTGGGCTAAGGTAACAAACAGGTCATCCGCAAATGCCCGTAACTTATACTCATGCTGTCTGATTTTAATTCCCTTTATTGTATCTGTCCCACATATTTTACTCAGTAAAATTTCCAGCGTCAAAATAAACAACAATGGAGACAAGGGACAACCTTGCCTTATTCCTTTTTCTATATTAAAAATATCTGTTAAACCACCATTAATTATTATTTGCGCTGTTTGTTTCTGATATATTGCCTTAATAGATTGTATAAAATAATCTCCAAGTTGCATCCTTTCTGTTAATTTCAATAGAAAATGCCAATTCAATCTATTAAAGGCTTTCTCAGCATCCAAAATACTAGCATTGCGGGGACCTGGTTGTTCCTCCCCAAATACTCTAGTAAGTTAACAATTTGCCTTACATTACTTTTCATTTGTCTACCATTTATAAAACCAGTTTGATCATGATGAATCATTTGCTGCATAACTATCATTAATCTATTTGCTAATATTTTAGCAAAAAATCTTATAATATGT